TGTTTGTGTTACAGATCTCACTCCTAAGCCCATCTCCATTCCTCTCAATCTTATCAGAATGAGCAATCATTCTCCCCCCATCCTGTGGCCAGGGTCTGTGTTGTACCTTTGAGCTTCCTGTTTGTCTGTTTGGGGGGAAGACGCAGGCATTTCTGTGGAAGCCACACCCCTCACCCAACTGCTGTCGACAATATAGTCCCATTGGTTTTACTCTCTGATACCAACTAGTATGCATAATGCTAACCTCTTCATTTCTAGATCTTTATCCCAATACTCCCCAGTCTGTCCCTTGAACCTCCTTCTTTTCAGTCTTCTATAATAATAATAATAATAATAATAACAATAATTATTATTATTATTTAATCATACCATGATAATTTCCTTCTTTGTGTGTATTTAATGCCTGAGTTATGCTTCTGTCCCCAGTCACTCTCAGACCTTCCGTTCCAAACACAGCCCCCCCAGATTGTTGTGGGATGAGTATAGATCTGGAACACCAAATGCATTTATCCACACGGAGGGGTAGGGGCCGCTTTGAAATGTAATACATTTTTGATAAAGTAGATCCAAGAGCAATGGACTAGGGGTGTGTGTGCACTTAAAAAAAATCTATTAAACCCAATGTGGAGCCGAATTACCCAGCAGCCATGGGAGGTGGCATTTAGCGATGACTAAATTGCCATTTATCCCACAAAATAAATGGCTAAATGGACGAATCCGGCTTTCTGCTATCTGCAGCGAGGAGAGATGTCATTAACTACGGCTTGGGTTGTTTTTGTTCCACTAAGCGCAGCTTTGAAATGCACATTTATTTATATTTGAAAATGTGCTTTTTTGTGATGCTGGAGAAGGGAGCTGTATTTCACCACATCTCTAGCTGATGTGAAGGTTGCCGGGTGACCCCACCCCACCCCAACCACCCCCAGTATCGGATATACAAGCCTTATCTTATCTCTATTGTCTGGAAGTTACATAACGCAGTAGATCTGTTCATGTGATGTCAAAGTGTCACCATGAGATGACCTGCAGTAACTGAGACTGGAAGATTATAGTAACACAATGTTGTTGCTGTTCCATAGGTAGCTTGGAGAACCTGCACGCTGTGTAATTATTTTAATGAGAAATCCGTGTCTTATTGCACACTTATTGGCAAGAAAGCAGTTTATTTGCAGTTTTAATTTAAGTGACGCGAAAGTAATGGTCAACCCACGCAAACAAAGGAAGCTGGCTGTCATTGCGTAAATTGGATGGACGAACGGTGTGAATTAAGTCAATAAATTGGTTTTTCACAGGTGCTGGTTTTCTCATTTATCCCCCTGTCTAATGGGAGAAGATGCAGAGAAGCTTTCCTGGTGGAGAGAGGGAGTGGTGATCTAAAGGTCAACAACATTACCTTTCGGAAAGATGGATATCGCGATTAAAAATTAATAAAAGCAGAGCTAAGGGAAAGTGGTTAGTGCTTAGCTTCATGCTAACCCAAGGCCTATTTCATAGTCATTTTTTTTCCCTATCAAATTATAACAATTGGGATAGTGCTGGGTTCTCCATATTGCAGAAATAGCCAGGAAGCTGTACTATAACAGGATAAAATCCATATACAGTACCCTAACACACCCTCTAGCGAAAACACATGCCAGTTGATATACGTGGTCATGTGTGTAACCATGGACAATGGTATCCACCATGGTTACTAAGTGACTTCTCGGTTTACCTCCATCATCCACTGGGTGTGGGGGGGCACTTGTCCTGGTGAGTCACAGTCAGCTAGAGGATTTGGAGACAGTAATCGCATTCAGTGAGTCAGAGCACCAGGTGATAGTCATTAGATCCAGTGAGTTGGACGACTGGGAAATGGTCATTAGGTTTAGGGAGTTGGAAGACCTGGAGATGGTTATTAGACTCGGTGGGCAGGAGGACCTGGAGATAGTAATTAGACTCAGTGAGTTTTGAGAATCTGGAAATAGTCATTAGACTCAATGAGTTTGGAGAACTTGGAGATCGTAATTAGGCTCTGTGAGTTGGGGGTATGGAAAGAGTAATTAGACTCAATGAGTTGGAGAACTTGGAGATAATCATTAGGTTTGATGAGTCAAACAACTGGAGATAGTCATTGGATTTTGGAGTCTGGAGCATGGACAAATAATGGACACTATGGTTGGTTACACTGTGTGTCCTGTTAAAATAAAAGTTACGATTCAGTCGCCCATGTTATTTTTTTGGGGTCATATGTCCTCTCATTTGCCATTTCCTGTGATACATTATGAAGTCATCCAGAAAGTAATAGCCTGAGGTTTTTTTCTCATTCCTATTTTGGATGGCATTGCCTGCTCCTCTTTGATTGCCCCTCTCCTTCTGCCTTCAAACAGAACCTCCCTGTTAGGATGAGAAAGACCGGGAGGCAATTAGGAAGGTGGGGGTGGTCATGAGAGTGTCTCATCTTCTCTGTAATCAGGCTGTGTGTATGCCTTCTAGGATCACGGAACTTTCTTTTGGTTAAAATGTCTTTCTAAGCACTTTGCCTCAAGCAAAGTGGTTGACCTGGTTTATGTCTGGTTGAAGAATTCCTCCAGTGGTTAACGGTATCTTGGCACGACATATGGTAGTCAGGCAAGTTCAATAGGAGCTAGGGGGCGCTCAACAGTTCAGTATGGAGCCCTGAGGCTTCAACACTGGCTCAGTCTCTGTTGCAGAGCCTGATTGCCACCATGACTCTGGGATGGTTCCTGGTGGTTCGATCAGAGGCCCTCAGCCTTCTGCATGATCTCCACAATGTTTTGGAATTAGAGCGGGCTGGCTCCTTGCGGCGAGCGTGTATGCCCCCCCCCCCCCCCCCCCCCCCTTCTTCTCATCTCCATTGTGTGCCTTTGGATATACGGAGAGATCGATAATGACTGTGTGATAATGACATTATTTGGTGGATAAGCCCGTCCTTCTGTTGAAGGTGAAAATTAAAAGGCGAGGACTTGCTGCAAGGCTCTGGCAACCTTCAGCAGAGTTTTAGAGAGATCATATTTAATAATAGTCAGAGCACGCACTCGACGCCAGTTTGGTAGATAACCAACATAATCGTTAATAATTTCTTACTGACTTCCATCAGCCTGTATCAAGCCCAGGCGGTTGAGGGATGGCTTTGCCTAGCAACACACTCTGTCCTACCCAACACTGCGTCCCGGTAACGCCCTTTATCTTCGATACGGCGCGGCTGCGCTCCACTCTCCGCTCTAATCTCTGCTAGCCGCCTAGAGTCAATTAAACATGCAGCAATTCCCACACAGACGGCTGGTAAATGCTGAGGAAGCAGCTTAAACCGGTAGCTGACCGAATCAGATAAGCGTCCGATCCGATACGAGCTCTCCGGGGTAAAAAGACACCTTGGGCTCTGGCTCTGACGTTTTCATGGCGGTTCCCCAGCTCCGCTTGGCATGGTTGAGCCCGGCTCTCCAGCGTCTGCTGCCTGCGTGTCCATGCGTGCGTGCCTGTGTGTATGAGTGGATGTCAGTACGGGCTCCTGAGACACACTCTGCCAGATGGATGAATAGAGCTTCCCGTTGCTGACACACAAGACCAGCTGAATATGCCAGGGCTCATCTGATTGGCTGCGCCAGGCCTTCGCTTTGCAGGCCGTCTGCTCCGTCCTGTGTGCTCCCGTGCCCGTTTGCGTGCTCAGCGTGTGGCTGCGCATCATGGCTGATCTCCCATTTATTTTGCTTTTCTTTTTTTGCATGCTCTTCCTCCTGTTCCGTTCCTCTTCTCCCCTCTCCGTGTGTCCAGATGCCACGTCCGACTTGGACCCTGCGGCCCACGGTGGGTATCCTTCGACTGGACCTCCACACACACTGCTCTCATTGCACCTCCTTTGTAACCCTTCCTGCATCCAGAGTATAGCTCTCACTACATTTTGTTTAATAGACTTCACTGCATCCCAGTGTATCCCTCACTGCACTTTACTTAATGGACTGCACTGCATCCCAGTGTGTCCCTCACTTCACTCCTTTATTGCCTTCACTGAACTTCAGTGTATGCATGGAAAAGCCCTTGGTGTCTATATGTAGAGTCTATCCAGCTGCAGGAGTGAAGCATCTTGATGTCTGTGATTAACTCTGTGTGCGTTTGCAAATGTTCATATGTGTGCATGTTTAAGGGTTGTGTGTGTAAATGTATGTGTAACAAAATGCATGCTGATTTCAGTAATGTCAAAACAGTCAAAAGTGGCTTCTCTGTTCAAAACTGTTCAGACATTTGCAATTTACTTCAACTATTTGTACCTTGTATTGTGAGTATATTTTGTGAGAAAATTTGTATCTTGTCACAGTGCTCTGTTCTGTAAACTGTACAGGTTTCAGCTGTTTTTTGGACAGAGAGATTTGAGTATGAGTTATGGAGGGTCTGTGAGACCCCTGAGTGTGAGTTATGCAGTATCCGTGAGTGCCCTCAGTGTTAGTTGTGCAGTGTCTATGAGAGCACTAAGTGTGAGTTATGCAGTGTCTGCGAGAGCTCTGAGTATGAGTTATATGGTGTCTGTGAGAGGTCCTGAAAATGAATGTGAGAGCTCTTGGTGTAAGTTGTTCAGTATCTGTAAGAGCATTAAGTATGACTTATGCAGTGTCTGTGAGAGCCCTGAGTGTGACTTGTGCAGTGTCTTTTAGAGGCCTGAGTATGAGTTTGTGTCTGTGAGAGGCCTCAGTGTTAACTGTGAGTTGAGTCATACGCTGTCTGTGAAACGTCCTGAATATGAATGTGAGTTGTGCACTGTCTGTGAGAGATATACATATGTGGTATACGGTGTCTGTGAGAGGTCCTAAATATGAATGTGAGTTGTGCAGTGACTTTGAGAGCCCTGAGTGTAAGTTGTGTAGTGTTTCTGAGAGCACTGAGTATGTTATGTAGAGTCTGTGAGAGCCTTGAGTATGAGTTACTGTATGCAGTGTCTGTGAGAGCCCTAAGTGTCAGTTGTGCAGTCTGTGAGAACTCTTAGAATAAATTATGCAGTATCTTTGAGAGCACTGAATATGAGTTATGCAGTGTCTGTGAGAGCCCTGAATGTGAGTTATGCAGTGTCTGTTATCTCATTTCCACCAACACGGAGCTGGTGCTGGTGCTGGTGCTGGTGCAGGTGCTGGTGCTGGTGCTGGTGCAGGTGCCCGTGCCCGTGCTCGTGCAGGTGCCCGTGCTGGGCTGGTTCTCGCTTGGTGCCTGCTTGCATTTCCACCAGTTTCAAACAGAACAGAATGGAATTGTTATGTAGATGGAATTGAGAGTAAAGGTTCATATGTATTCAGTTTTTTGAATTTATTTTGATCTGTTTCGGATTTTAAGTTTTCATAAGCTGCCAAACTGAAAAAAGTATGACTCGTTGTTCTCTCTCTATATTGCCTGTATCCACTTTTGTCTCCTTAAAGCCTCCCGCATCTGTCTGTGTAAGTAAGCTTATTCTCTTTCGCTGCTTTACCACTGTCCTTTTAAAGATCACGTAATAAGAATCTGCTAAAACGTTGCATTTTTTATGACCTTTTCGCCACTCTAGTGCCACAATATTTTATTTATTCGACCTGCGACATGTTTGTAATTTATTATTAAATCTAGCCAGGAAATCGATCTTTCATTTTCCACAGAATAAAAAAAGATACAACGTTATACTGCTAATAAGCTCGCAAGTTGTTTCATTGCCAGCACCGGTGATATTAGACAAAACTATATCATTTATGGATTGAATTTTCAGGGTATGCGGAAGGTTTGGATGCGATAGCCTGTCCCACTTTCACTGACATTATGGTTCCAAATTCTGAGACCAGCTTTTCTGTGGTGCCGTGCTGGAGCCGTTTTTCTGGCCCAGGGCCAGTTTTTTTGCAGTGGAAACGTGTGGAACCAGTTCCAGATTGGGAAAAAGTCAGGCACCAGCTCCAGCACCACATTGGTAGAAGCAAGGCATGTGAGAGCTCGGAGTTATGCAGTGTCCATGAGAGTGTGAGTTGTGCAGTGTCTGACAGAGTCCTGAGTATGAGTACATTGTGCAGTGTCTGTGAGAGCTCTGAGTATGAGTTATGTAGTGTTAGTGAGAGCCCTAAATGTGTTCCACAGTATCTGTGAGAGCTCTAAATTTTTCATGTGTGGTTAATCTAACACACTTGAACCAATATTGCATCTATAGCCATGTGGGCTAACACAGCATGTTCAGCCCAAAGCGCATGTGTGCTGTGTGAAATACTACAGCACGCTCATCCTGTGCTGTGTGAAATACCACAACACACTCAATGTGTGACTGCGTGAAGTACTACAGCACACGTAATGTGTGTCTGTGTGAAATACTATAGCATGCTCAGTGTGTAGCTGTGTGAAATACTACAGCACACCTGACGTGTGACTGTGCGAAATACTACAGCACACTCAGTGTGATGCTGTGTGCAATACTACAGCACATACAACGTATGAAATACTACAGCACGCTTGACGTGTGACTGTGTGAAATACTACAGCACGCTTGATGTGTGGCTGTGTGAAATGCTACGGCACACTCAACCTGTGTTGTGTGAAATACTACAACATGCTCAATGTGTGGCTGCATGAAATACTACAGCACACACAACGTGTGTCTGTGTGAATTACTATAGCATGCTCAACCTGTTATGTGAAATACTACAGCACACTCAATGTGTTGCTACGTGAAATACTACAGCACGCTCATTGTGTGGCTGTGTGAAATACTGGAGTGAGCTCAATACGTGGCTATGTGAATTACTACGGCACACGCAACGTGTGTTTGCTTGAAATACTATAACACACTCAACCTGTGCTGTTTGAGATACTACAGCATACACCAGCTATCCAATATTAACAGTTCAGAACAGTGTAAATTTCAGTTTAAATATGTGTGGTGAAAAGTGCTATTACTCGTAGGCTCGCGGCCACCTGTGGAAGTCCCACGCAGGCACGGTGTGACCTGAGTGCAACTACAAGGCTGAGTGCCCCCTGCCTTTGTAAGGCTTTTTGGGGGCGCTTCCATGTCCGTGATGTTTCAAGGCTGCTCTTTCAGCATTTTGGAAAGGCTCCTTTGCTATTAAATATGTCACACCGCTTGCATGCAGACACACATCTTTGTGTTGCCGTATTGCCTGCCGCGATAAAGTCTTTTATTTCCACAGAGTGAATCACTCACTCTTTTGGGGCTTTTTCATCCACGGATAAGTGTTTTCCTTTTACCCTTTTTGTGTAGCCTAGCAACAGGCAAAGGTTCAAGGCAGGAGTGGGCCTTACTGTACGGAGGCGTGGGTTTGCTGCACACTGCCGCCCGCACAGGGGCACTGCCGGCCCTTCGGCCACGTCTCTCATGTTGTTTTCCTTTTCTTCTCAAAGCTTTTCAGCTCCTGAAAAGTAGCGTCCGTATGTGGGCGCTCCTGCTGTGTCCATCACCCCCCCCCCCCCCCCACAGCTAACCCAAGGCTCTGGGGCCCCTGCCTGTGCTCCACTGTCTCTGGCTGATTCCAGTTCTATCACCTGCTGGACGGGAACGGCGTGATCCGGATGGGCTTCCTTAATCTGCGTTGTCACACGCCGGTCTTTTTGCCGTATCTGTGATTCTACAGCGTCACCCCCTCTTCGCTCTCCTGCGGGGAGGGGGCAAATTAAACAGCTGTTCCTCCTCTCCTGTTAGCAGAGGCCTCTGATTAGCAGGGAGAGCTTGATTTCACCCTCCATTCCTCCGTTTGGTTGTAGCCACTGAAGAGCCAGTTGGCCGTGATCCTCTGGCGATGGACACTGCAGATCATAATGCATTTTCCTGTCAGTGTGTGTGTGTGGGGGGGGGGGGTTAAGCAGGTTTTTCATCCAGTCTTTTCAGAAGGATGATGGGACTGCAATCATAAAACAGAAATGCCAAAAGACTTGTATTTTGTTTTGGTTACTTATGATTAAGGTCAGGGCTGGGTAGGGGTTAAGGTTGTCATTGTTGGGACTAGGGATTTACCCATAGAAATGAATGGACAGTCCCCACAAAGATATGAATGCAGGTCTGTGTGTGTGCGCGCGCGTGTGAGTGTTTGTGTGAGTGTTTGTGTGTGTGTGTGTGTGTGTGTGTGTGTTATATGTGTCTCACACGCTTCAAATGAAGACAGGAATACCATTTTGTATTGCCGTGGGAAGAGTCACGATGATCTGTGGGTTGCGTCACTGCATTTTGGGTAGATTTATAATTGTTTTACAGATGTCTGTCTGAAGACGGGAATATTCGAACACAGAGTTCTGGAAGTGAAGATTCTGTATGTTTCTGAGAACCAAACCGATGACTGATCGCTAATGTGACACCTGTCCAACATCGCAGTGTCGAAACGCCACGGTCGGGTCGTGAATGATGTGCGTGTGATAGCGGCAGGCTGGACCCTGCACAGATCCAGGATTCTGGGACCGCTGCGGCCGTCTGCTTCGCACGCCCAGGGCTCCTCACCCTCCGGAGCGTCACCATGGCGATACCGCAGCCTGCCAAGGCCCGGGGAAGCTGCCATGCTCGCTCTCAGAGGCTGCCGTTCGATTGGCTCAGGAAAGTGATGTGGGCCGCGTGCCACTCTGGGAGTCTCATACATTCGCTTCAGTGTTTACAAACAATGGTCACGTGCATTAACCACAAGCTTTAAAAAAGCCCTATAGATTAGCAGTGGCAGCGCCGAAGGATCTGCTATTCAGCGGCCTTTCCAAATTAACCTGGTGCACTTTGACCGTATTAACCCTAAGTCGTCGCGTGAGATCCCCCAGCTGTTACTCTCTCTGTGGCTGCTTCAGTTCCCACGTGGTGCAGTACCCATGACAGATGTCTG